TCCTTCGGGACATCCGTTAAAATTGGAACGATACAGAGAATGAAGATTAGCAAATGGCCCCTGCGCAAGGATGACACGCATAAATTGAGAAATGGTCCAAATTATTCAAAAAAAAAAAAAAAAAAAAAAAACACTCAGACAAAGAAAGAAGAAGTTAAGAACATCACTAAAGGGCTGTCACTCTTTACCTGAAAAAAAACTTATCGGCAATCACGCCAAGTATTCTGCAAGCAAGGGTAGACCTATTGAAGGAAGACTGTTGCTAGAAGCCAAGAGACTGGGGGCTGGTACTCACACACACACACACCCGATTAGAGCATTCCGCTTGGAGGGAAGGACGCCACCAGGAAGATACAAAAGCCCGACCCACCTCCTTCCTGGTCGGTTGGCAAGGCCTGCAATCAAAATTGGCAGCCCCTAAAAGGGGCCTAAACTATGACCCTGATCGGGTCACGCTCGACACCTTCCTACTCAGGAAAGTATGGGTAACTGTTTCAAAGCCGTGGACAATTTTATCGAGCCCACCAAAGGAATCGCGCAATTGGAATATGACCTGGAGGAATGGACATGGTCCCACAAAGGCCCAAGGCAAATTTGCGCATTGCGAATATGACCTGGATGAATGGACATGGTCGCAGCAGCAAGGGCCCAAGGCAAACCGCATCGATCCAAGGAATACATAGTCAATCCGGGGCACGGAATGAGTCTGAGACAGAGGAACCGACCCCCAAAATCACCAAAATGTGGGAATAACCTTTTGTAGCCGAGCCCCCGAGAACCAATAGAAATCCCCAAACAGCCCCCCGCAAATACGAAGTCGTCAGGCCTAACGGGTCTCACAACCTACAATGGTCAGTTGCCTATGTGTCAATGGCTGATGGTGACGGTCAGACCCAAACGGCTCCGGTATCTGTGTAGTGCTCAACAACAACTTGGCTGAGGATTTAACCCATTGTGTTTGCTATCTTGTGCCACAGCAACCTGGGGATGGGATGGGGTCAAAAGGATGTGGTTCTCTCTCTTCACAATCCCATCACCCACCTCCTTCTCACCTACCTCCCCCTCACCTACCTCCCCCTCCCCCTCCCCACCTCCCCCTCACCCACCTCCTCACCCACCGTCCCGTCACACCCTTACTACCGTCTTCACCCGAATAGAACGCCCGGTAATTATCGCCATATCTGGGCTGAAAGTTGTGCCAAATACAGCTATAATGACCAGGCGTTCTATTCGGGTGAAGACCGTAGCTATCAACATCCCCACACATCTCCATGGAGGACCAGCGGTTGGGTACCTCCTCCTCTGCAAAGCCACCTTCTGGGTCATTTGGAAGAAAAGGTGCAGTCAAACCATTGACGGGATAAAGATCGAGAGGGACGAAGCCTGGATGCAGCTGGTCAAAAGGGTGGAAACAGAGATCAGGTACAGGTGGGACAAAAGTAAGAATCTCGCCAAAGTCAAAGATGGACCAGATCGGTTCAAGGCCAAGAAGGAAGCACTTTTTTTTGGTGAATAACTGGCTGCTCCGAGGAAAGATCGCGACAATAACTGACAACAGGCTGCGATGGAGGAAATGGGGTCCCCAGTACTGAAGGCACAAAGCTACACGAGAAGGTCCGCCCGCCGGAACTCCAGAAATGATGACTACACACAGCGGAGAAAGAAACACAGCACAGCTTGGTGAAGACGGGAAGCAAAACAGACTCAACTTGAGCAGGGATAGCGAACTACACGTGGACGAGTCTATGACAACTCTAGACAGCCAAGATGGAGCCTTTCTTCAAAAAAAAAAAAAAAAAAAAAAGAATAGAAAAGAAAAGAAAAGAAAAGAGACAATCAGGCAGCTGTGTAAGATGGAGAAGAGCAATATGCAAAGGTGCAGAGATCGTAGTTGAGGAGATTAAATTTAAATCATTAAAGTTGAATTTTTTTATTTTTATTTGCGTAGAATTGGCAAGCACAGGGGTGCAGCGGGGGTAAATTGATAATTCCTGGTCAGCAAGCAATCAACGCCACAGTCTCAGGGTTCCTCCACCATGGCAGAGGGAAGTGTAGAGACTCTAGAGAGTACAAGGCTACAAGCCGTGTGTGGGGTGACGAGCCTGACTGTCAGCAATACAATGGAGGCGGCATTATTCAAAAAGAGAAGAAAAGAAAGTCGGCCTGATATCAGAGATTTAGTACCTGCAGGTCTGTTTGAATCACAGGCCCAAGTCCGCACGTCGTTTGCGAATACGCTGAGACTTGATGGCACATCATGCATGGAAGGAATGCAAACAGAAAAAGAAGAGGCGAGAAAGCCAAAAATAAGCGGCACGACTATCTCATTTTGTGTCAAAAAAGAAGAGGTGAGAAAGCAAATAAGCAGCATGACTATCTCATTTTGCGTCTGTGATAACACCCCTTTCTACCAAACGACACATTCAACAACGCCTTTGTACGTCCTTAGCGCCTCTGCAAACTGGTGGCACATGCAGGGAAAGGAAAGCATACAGAAAAAGAAGAGGCGAGAAAGCAAAAAATAAGCGGCACGACTATCTCATTTTGTGTCAAAAAAGAAGAGGTGAGAAAGCAAATAAGGAGCATGACTATCTCATTTTGCGTCTGTGATAACACCCGTTTCCACCAAACGACACATTCAGCAACGCCTTTGTACATCCTTAGCGCCTCTGCAAACTGGTGCCACATGCAGGGAAGGAAAGCAAACAGAAAAAGAAAGAGGCGAGAAAGCAAAAAATAAGCGGCACGACTATCTCATTTCGTGTCAAAAAAGAAGAGGCGAGAAAGCAAATAAGCAGCACGACTTATCTCATTTTGTGTCTGTGATAACACACACCCCTTGTCCACCAAACGACACATTCAGCAACGACTTTGTATGTCTGTAGCGGCTCTGCAAACTGCAGCTCAGGATCCAAGGCTGTCGTTCTACTCCCGGCAGCGCCCAGTTTTGCCCCTGCATATATACAATCTGCCATCATAAGCTTCCAGGATTCACGTCTCCCCCGCTGACATGACATCTGGGCCCAACAGAACTAGTCTCCAAACCAGGGCACAGATCTCCAGATGAAGTCCCAGCTGGAGGTTGGACACTTCCAACAAAAGAAAGAAAAGGAGGAGGAGGAGGACGTTGATGCTGCCAAGAAATCCAGTTGCATCGGATCAGCTGCGAAATACCAGAACCGACATCTGCGATCAAGAACCCTTTGCCAAATCGTATCAGATCAACCCTTTTGTCAGACTATCACCATAACTTAGGAATCCAGTTGAGTGACTTGTATGACATAATAATAAGGGACCTGCATGGCATGTATGCAGAACACGACATGTGAGCACTGAGCGGCATATTAAGACAATCACAGAGGGATGACCGTGCCGATAGTCATCCAACCTATCTAAGAGAAGGGGCGTGTCCAACATATCGTAGCAGATGGTGTCTGACATGTGGTATTCTCTGCTTTGCACAGGCGGAGTCACTCAGATAGCCTTCTAGTCTACAGAATAAGATCTCAGAGACCCTTTAGTTAGAAGAAACCGTCAATTTAAGTTAATCATGCAGCTGCTGCTCCTACACAAATCTCAAGCACAAAATGGGAAAAAACGTTAAAAATTAAAAAAAAAAAAACAAAAAAAAATTGTGATATGACCCTGCTATTCACGTATTGCCCAGATTCGCACCTTCTGTCTCTTCCCTGCCGCTTACCCCTCTCCCCCCCTCTCCTCCACACCCCAACAACCCCACCTCCCCGCACCCTCCACCCCCCACCCCCCAACCCCT